TATATATATATATATATATATATATATATATATATATATATATATATAAAACGAGAAAGAGGCGAGACAAAAACAAAAGAGAGAAACGACAACATTAACAACTAATTTATTACACATTTACCGCATCTTATATACATAATATACATATACAAAATTGATATATATATATATATATTGTATATACGAGATATATGTATTATATATAAATATATATATATATTATACGATATATACACGTGCATAAAAATCGAAGATAAATAAGATTTTGCTAAGACGATAAATTAATAACGGTACGGTCGCGTGGATCGACGAGTAGAACGATAATCGGGAGATGCGCGTGCGTAGATCGTGCGATCCACGTGATCGTCGTCAGTGTACAGCGACGCCGCTGGAAAATGGAGGGCGTGTTCTATCGACAAAGATCCACAGGACAGTATTTTAAAGTGTCGTAGATAGCTTAGTTATCCTTGCGTATATTAACGATATCTATTCCTTACACTTACATTCACCGTCACACTTACATTGCCGCGTGCACACGAAAAGGAAAAAGAAAAGGGGGGGAAAAAGTGATGTATAACCTAACCTATACGCGATAGAGTGTCTGGTTAAAAGATATATACGCGTGAAAAGCGTGGTGTGTCTGTTACGGAGACGTTATCACTCGTAGTTAATCGGTTTCCATTCGAGAAAAAGGAGGGAAAAAAAAGGGATTACACGTATCTGGAGACGTAAGCTGGGAATGGATCGTGTGCTCGTGCACACGACACGCGTAAACACGTGAAGAAATTATTATATCGATGTCCTAAGATTGTTAAAGCGGGAACGATCGTCTCGATCGCCTTGTCGAGGGTGTTTCCGCTTCGTGTAACTCACGTTTCAATGATATTTATTATTTTTTATAATAGCGTATATACCGTGTATGTGTTTTCTGTCGTCGTACTATCCACGTTTCTCCTTACCTCGATAGATGTTTAAATAAACGGTTGTGGGAGGAAAGAAGAGGAAAGTTGTTGCTCGCAAGAAGAGAAAGAGAAGAAGAATTTTCTTCCACTTTCCATATTCTTTGAACGTCCACCGAGATTCACCCCTCCTCCCACCTCTTCCTCTTCAACGGTCCTCTTATCAATTCCCTAATTATTGTGTTGTTACTTGAGAGAAGGAAAAAAAAAAAAAAATCATTATTAGATCGCGGTGACGAGCCGGTAAAGCTCGATTGTTTAACTGCATATATGATCGTCAATCCTGGTCCGTGATAAAATTCTTTCACCGAGCTCGATTATGCTTCTTAACCCTTCGTATTTTCGCCCAAAGAGAGTCAAGCTTGCGTTTGAGGAAGGAAAAAAAAAAAAAACGAAAAAGCTTACGAAAAAAAAAAATTGAAAAAAAGAAAAAAAGAAACATTCAACTTTACGATCTTTAGAACGCTAAAAAATGAAAAGAAACAAAAAAAAATAAATAAATAAATTACGCATTTTTTAGAGATTCGTCCTTTGGAACACGTAAAATCTATCGTCGTTTTAACAAAGAAGTAGAAAAATTTCGATGTTTAATAAACGTAGGATTAATAAACGATCGTTTTTAATGTATGATCGATTCAGTGGTTTCAACTTTAAACTAGTCAGCCCGCGAAGGATTAAGAAGATTATCGAACACTGTGCACTATACTTTGTAGCTGTCAAAATGAATAAGAAAAAAAAAGAAAAACGAGACGAGAAATACACCGTTTACACGATGTATCGATGTATCGTGAAACTTTTCAAGACAAAATTCGAGACAAAAGATCGAGGGAATCGAATTGGTAAAAATCGAAAAGTAATTGAAGCGTTAAACGACGTGTATCTACAACTCGTCGTTTCTAAAATATACGATTTAAATTGGACAAGCCGTCTACGCTCATCTTGCATCTCGTGCTTTATCACGAATTATCGCATCCCTGTGACGGATCATCGTTAATTAAATAAACAAGTAAAAAATAACGATCAAGTTTAATCATCAATGCGAATTGATAGCTTTTAAAAAAAATTAGCTCGTTTTTTAACTTTTAAATTAAATTCTACTTATAATTTATTTTATAATTAATTTTTATCCTGTACAAGAGTTGAAATATAATTTTATTTTTATTCCGTTATATTCTTTTTTAATCCATTTACTCGAGTAATAAATAATCTTTCTAAAAGAAAAAAATCTTCATCGAGATTATAAATTTCCATTTATGATCTTCGTGCAAACAAAATCGGTTTTGAATTAATTAATGTTCAATGCAAAATGATATGAATTATCAAAATCATCTATATTATATATCTATATTATCAATGCATTAAATTTCTGTACAATACAATAATGATCGAGTTGTCGTTCACAGAAAAATATCTGAAAGCAAAGTAATTAATAACGTGTTATTAAAAGTGTGAATTCGGAAATTGTACAAATAACGCGTGTTAAAACGTATTAATAACCTATATTACGAATCGAGATTAATTTCTAAAAATTTCCTATCTTTTTATTTTTGGTAATAATTTTAATTGTTCGATGCATTTGTCACAAGTGATGCGTACATTAATTACATTAATTAAGAACAAAAGATATCGAGCAAAAGTAATAACAAGTTACCTTGCAAGTAGAATATCTCTGCCTGAAAACTATAGTTGACTGATAGATTACGTACACACGTAGTTTAAACGATTAACGAATCGTGTAACAACGCAATTACCGCATCTCCATTGCGTCATTTATAAAAAAACGTATCGATCAAATGTATCTCGAAACGGATAAAAAAAAAAATGAAATGAATTTAGAATTAAAATAAAAATAAGAGATAGAAAATATACGGCACATACGTTACATTATTTCAGTATTGATTATTGTTATGTCGTTTACGATAGGAGCACGGTATTGAAATCCTTGTAATAAATCTTGTGGCCAAACCGCGATTCTTATCCTCTTAAATGATCTAAAAAAAAAAAAATTCTAAAACTGTTTGAAACGAGAAATTAATTTCTTCCTCCTTGGACGATTGATGTCGTTTCTTCCTATTTGGTCATTCAACCGCAACAGATCGAAATTAAAATATGATCGTGTTTTGCATTTTTTAATACCACGATTTCATTGCGCTAATTATCTAGCAACCGTTTCATTTCATTAGCTTAAGAGTTAATTAATTATCCGAGTAATACGTTCAGTTTATCGTCAATCGCGCTTGCTTTGCCGTCAATCGAAACCACTCGAGTGAAACACGGATTCACTCGTGTCGAAACATCAATGCGAAGTCCAAAGAGGATGTATCGCCAGTATTCTCGATATATTGTATCCTTTTCTTTCTTCGTATTGTAAGGACAAGTAACTCTTTCGAGTACGATACATCGAACTTGTATAGATATAGCATCAACGAATTTGACCAACTTCACGACGTTCTATCGCGAAGATCGCAACTTATCGAATCGCAATTTATCGAATCGCAAAAATGACCAATTTCATTATTGATTTTGAGAAACGAGCAATGGAGACGCGGTGCAAAGGAGATCCACATTTAATTCAAAGCGTACACGTATCGCTTGAAGAAATTTCGAGAAACCCTTAATCAGTTGGGTTAGATATATCGATATATACGAGTATACGTCGCTGGCGTATCATCATGAAATGATGGAATCGATTCACGACGATTTGATGCAGACGTGCATCACTAAAAAAATACAATTTCACACCTCGACTCGTTTCGACCACGTGTTCTGACGTTTATACAAGTTCTACAAGTTGAGTAATACCATGGAACTATCTTCTTTTTTTTTTTTTTCCTTTGATTGAAATATTTTCGATCATTTTCTCGACAATTTTAAATTCGTTATATTTAAAGAGCAATTGCTATTCGTTAAAATTATAATTTTGAATATTTTTGTGTATTTCTTAATATGTATATTATTTGACATCGAAACATTTTACGAGGGAAAACACAAGGTAAAGCTCGAAAGATAGATGATTAAATATAATTTTCATGTAATTGCGTTTAACGTAGAAATGTCAATGTTATATTAATGTTGCGTAATTGCACGTTTCTTTGCTTGCTGTGTAAATGAAGAACAAATGGAATCTTGAAAGCAATAATGTTTGTATTCATTTTATCGATCGCTTAAACGTCTTGATATTTTATTCATTTATCGAATAGCGAAGGAACCAATGGATGGCCGATATCACGGCTACAGGTGTCCTTAATCGTAGTAACGTATGCGTAAAATTTTTCTAATCATTGTATCGCAAGCGTAAGAACCAAAGGAATCGGTCGTTGTTTATTATATATTAACAATGTAAATACGATTAACCAAATCAACAATTTCATAATTCTTATGTTTATGCCGTTAAAGATTTGTCCTGTAAAAGATTTATGATTATAAAAAATAAACGTTTATAAAATTCGAATATTTTAAAAATAAGAAATGTGACTTATATTCTATATATTTGAAATATTATTTATCAAAATTTTACAGAAATTTTGCAGCAAAATAAAATAAAATGAAAATTCGTTTTTTTTTTTTTGGAAAATTTATAGTATATAGAATATAAGTTAAATTGCAAAAATATATGTGAAATTCACGAGGCAATTAAATAAAATAGAAAAATGAGGAATGAGATCATGATTAAAATATATGTATCTATGTATGATGTAAAAGAAAAAGAAAAAATACATCTTTATAACGACCAAAATTTTATTTTAAATATCAAAATCGTATTTTAATATTTATCTCGATATAATTAATTAAAAAATAATAATAAATAATTACTTAAAGGGAAAAGAAATGATCCATGATCTTGCTTTTTATCGCCTTTTTATGTATCGGACACTTCCATAGACTTTTTATCAGGAATGTATACGTATTTTGTTTCCTTGGCGTGAAAAATTACTTTATGTAAGTTCCGCGCTAAATCAAACAACTTGTAAGAGAGCTGAAAAACATGAGCGTAAAAAAAGGAAAATTTAATGTGAAAAAAATGTGAGAATGAAACGCTCCCAAAACGATAACCAACAATTCGATGATTAGTTTTAATCCCTTTTGTACGTTTATATGCAGTTAAATAACGTGTACATAATTATCTAAATCAGTGTTGTGAGATTAATGCGATTGTAATACCTACACACCGACCCCATTAGCGGAAGGCATGTGCTTCGAATTATTATCCTTGAAATTTCGTGAGATGATTAAACAGTCCTTTCGAAACATCGCTGTCTTCTTAATGTCGTTGATTTGGGACGATCCAGTTTCCATTATTCTTGTTAAGTACGTTCTGATACGATTTTACTAGTTTCAGTTATCATAATTAAGGTAATTCTTGTTTTTGCTCGTTTATTGTTTGTAATTATGAAAACAAATGTAATAATTTATTTATTATAAATTAGAGATAAAAATTGTTATGAATGTCGTTATAAAAAATATTTTATACAGTTTTTATTTATACATTTCAAAATTTAATTTTTAAAAATTTCACGTTAACGAATTATTTCTTTTTTTTGTAAAATAATAAATATAAGTTTCGTCAAATGAAAAATGTTTAGTAATTGAAAAGTAAAAAAAGAATAAAGAAATTGCGTTTGATCTCAAATTGATGATATTAAGAACGTATTTTTATTATTATTACCTTATAAATACCTTACCTCAAATTATTTATCTCTTAAATTTAAAAAAATTAAAAGATAATGAATTTAATAAAATTTAATCGAAAACAAAAACGGAAAATGCAAATTTGAAATATGCATTATATTATTTATTGTAACTGTTCATGTTAAATATATTTATATTGTTCTTCATTTATCTAAAACAATGAGAATATGTAAATTATAAATTTCTTTTAAATATCAAAAAAAAAGAAATTGAAGAAAAAATGGATATCTAATTAAATAAATTTATTTTCTTCCCTGCATGAAAGTTCAGCAATTTCCAAAAGTAGCTTCAAAATCAATATCTTGATGAGAAATTCTAGATGAAAACGCCCTTGAAGAAAATCGTAAAACATAGACTTGCTTCTTCTCTAGTGAAGTAATGTTATATTGCGTTGATACTGCATCAAATTCGATTGAACGAATATGTCGTTTATTTGCGCGTGCGCGGGAAATTTAAATAATGAAATACATAGATGAGCATATGCGTTTACAATTCACTTCAGCTTATTTTCAAAGTTTCATCGATAGATGGCGCAAATACGCAAATAAAGTAAAGTTACATTTTCATTAATATATATTGCATATAAATATAATTTTATTCTAAGCGAAATAATATAGGATAAGAAAAACAATTATTTATAAATTATTCTATAATTTATATTATAAAATTATAGTAAAATTTATTCATTTATAATATAAAAATATTATAAACCAAAGATTAAATTTACCCATAATGCACATAATATTTGGCGGTGGAATATTCAAAACAGTGAGAAAAATTAACCTAAAACATGAATTTTAATATATGTTGATCTAATGTCAAACATGAGTGGAATAACAGCAATACATGTTAAAAAATTAAGTAAATATAAATTTTCCAAACATTTTATCTATCTATACTTTTTTTAGATATAATTTAAAAAAAAAATTCTTTTAATTTTTCAGGTCACAATATTGAAGAAATACGATTGAGAGCATTAGATAATATTATTTCAAAATATGATCTTGGTTTTGGTTGTGATTGTGATGTTGTAAGAAAAGAATTAATAACAAAATTATTTAATTGGTTTTCATTTGAAACCTTTTCGCAAACTCAAAAAGTTTTAGATTTATTACTTCGTTTACTAAAGGTATTTATTATAATAATATATATTTAATTTTTTTTATATTTTAAAAATATAGTTTTTCTTAATTCTTTAAATTATAAGAATCAATAATAATAAAGTGTGAATTATTATATCAAAATTAAAATTTTGTTTTTAAAATATATATTGTTATATATTTTTAAGATAAGTGATAAAAATCATTTAAATGCATTTGGTAAAATAAGATTTCAAAATGAGCTACATGAATTAAGAAGAAAATTAGATTCAGAATGGTATGAAAAATTAAATGAAATTGAAGAAGCAGTTCTAAATTCAGATAAATTGCAAACAATATCAAAATCAGAAACTATAAAGGTTCGTATAAAATTTTATTAATAATAATAATAATAATAATAATAATAAATTTTAATATTTTAATAATTACTATTTGTAAATTTAAACAAAACATTGTAAAGAAATATATCAAATTTTTTCAAGGATCCAAGCTCTCCAAAAATAGAATTTATTGATTATGACCGACATAGAACACGCATAAAAGATTATGAATATAATGAAATTAACAAAATTCAAACAAAAGAAGACCATTTGTCTCAAAGTATTACTCCTGTTTTAAATAAGTAAATATTTTAAATACTTTTTTCATGGTATAATAATTTCTTTATAATTGAACAAATATATACAAATAAAAATGTATTACATTTATTTTATAGTACAGTACCATTTGATTTAACATTGGAATGTGAAGATGGAACCCCAGTATCCAAAGCTACAGAAGGTGGTATTAAATGGTTAATCATGCCATGGCAACCTTTGGTTGCTTCAGATAGAGGTGTTTTAGCAGCAGTTGAAGATGCTTTAAATAATAATTTAGATACAAATCTTATATTACATACTTGTCAATTTATAACAAATGTAATGATGCAGGATTTTCCAGCAGAAGTTTTTCTTCAAAGACCAACTATTGTTTATGTACATAAGTATTTCAATTTTTTATTCAATTAATATTTATTAATATTCAATAATGTGTATATATAAATAAAATTTCAGATATTACATAATCTGTTAAAATCTAGTACAAATGCAAAAAATACTAATTTTAAAAATATTATACCAATGGTGTTAAAAACGCTTCATAAATTAACACGTTCTTTAAGACTAAGAATTTATTATTACTGTGAACCATGCATTGCAAATAAAAAACAAAAAGTAAATAAGTATAATTAAATTAAATAATTATATTATAAAGTCAAAGAAAACATGATATATTGACAATATATATATTTTTCAGTTATTAACAGAAAAATTAAGCAATAATGCTTATTCTTCTTCTGAAATAAGAGATAGTCCCGATGGTGGATTCCCAGAAGTTAATTATCAAGCATATCAATCTACTGTAAGTATTTATTTAAAATTTCATAAATATTCATAATATTTATAATTTTTAATCTTCTTTCTTTTATCTAGGATACAAGTGAAAGAAGTCAAAGTGTATCTGATAATATTGATGATTCTATTTTACAATTGCAACAAATGCTTATTCCAATTTTTTGCATTGAAACTTTAAAACATGTTATATCTCAATTAAGTATTTCTATTGATTCGAAATTTTTATTAAGAGACATCAAATACATAATGGATTTAATGTATGAATTAGTAGAATTACTTATTATTAGTATCATGCCAAATGTTTGGCTTTGTAATGATGATATCGCCTTAAAAGTAATTGAAGATATGAAAGTATTATTTGGCATCTTAGGAGATGTTATAGAATATTTTGGAAACTATAACACAATGGATGATTTTAGGATAACATATCTGCATCTTATAACTATTACAATGAAACTTTTAAGTCATATTGTTCCTTTGGAAATAGCAGATATTATTTTTCCTAAATCTCTTAAAACATCAATATGCATAGCTATAATAGATGCTGCTATTTATTTTTTCTATCCAAAACTACACTCTATATTACAAGAATATGGCCGTGTAAGTAATTTCTAGATTTATATATAATATAGTTCCAATAATTGTGATAATATATGAAAATTAAATTAAAAAATATCATTCATTATTTTTTATATAGCAATTTCAAGATTCTGACGAAATAATATACATTAAAATATTTGACGAATTAAGAATAGTAATGAAATCAATGGAAGCAATCATAGATTTATTAAAAAACAAATCTAATTCATCTCACTCAGAAATCTTAAAAATGTTATACTCTTCAAAATTAAGTTTATCTTATCATAAAAATTTCAGTATTATTAAAAAAACTATCGAATTTTTACAAAATATAAATAAGTATATATCTTTTATAAATTATACTAATTTAAAGGCTATTTATTACATTAATATAATTTAATTATTAAAGTATAATTTATTTAATATTCAAGGTATTCTCTAAATAATGAAGATCATAAGTTAGCTACAAAATTAATATTAAATTTATTAGCAAATGCGGATGCAGATGTACAGTATGTCACATATCTCGAATGTCATACTTTAACTAAAAAAATTCTAGGAATAGAATATAGAAGTGAAATGTTATCCTGGGAAAATTTAATGTTTTTATTTGAATCATCTGTATTAACGGAAATTGTATCTTATGGTATAATACATGATGATAAAAGGGTAAAATAAAACTTTATAAATATATTTATCTTTAATAATATATTTAACTTATAAAAAATCATTTATATTTTTATTAGATCAGAGAAATGTCCGAAGAAATATTAATTTATATTCTAAAGGGAAGATTACAAATGGGAGAAAGTGGATGGTTAAAATCATTAGAAGTAATAGTACCAGTGTTACCTATTTTACAATGTTATGCTCATTCTTCTACAACTTTAGGTCAATGTGTAACAAAAATCTTTGATCCTGATGTTTCTACTAACATACAATTACCATTTATTGAGGTATTATGTATATTGTTGAAAGAATATATTTTTTACATATATAAGTTTTAAAATATTATAATCAAATATATGTTCATTTAAAAGGTTTTAAAAGGTAATTTAAGGTTCCTATTTTCATCAGAAGAAGATATTAGAGAAGAAGCTGTTTGTAGATTAATTTGGCTTCTTGAAAAAGAAAAAAATTCAGTTCAAAAATTACCACGATTATCATCTTTACACGATTTACCATTTAATTCACTTTGTATATTTGATCATCAAACATCTTTTAAAAAATCTGAAGGCAATTATCAGGTTATATATTTTTATATAAATTTATATTATATTATACATTTAAACTTGAAAATTTTATATATAGTATAATATAACATATTTAATTTTACAGAGAAGTAATTTATTATCAGTACTTGAAATGTTAAATGATTCAGATATTGATCCAAAAATAAGAAAATCAGCATTAGTGCAAATTAGTGTTATGCTTACAGATTCTTCTTTACACAAGTTGTTTATTACCGAAAATGGATTACCATTAATTTTAAAAATATTTAATAGTGCTTTGGTAAAATTTATTTTATAATTTTATTTTTGTATATTATATAATAATATTTTTTAATTCTTTATAAAAAATATTAATTTTTAGGTTGAAAAAGAATATAATAATTATCCAGATTCTGTCATTCCTATAATTACTATACTAAAATTATTAGCATCTTCTGAATCT